CTCTCTCTCTCTCTCTCTCTCTCTCTCTCTCTCTCTCTCTCTCTCTGATGAGCAGTGCCTGGTTTTATATAGATATATCTAGATATATCTATATCTATATAGATATATCTATCTATATCTATCTAGATAGATATATATCTATATCTATCTAGATATATATCTATATCTATCTAGATATAGATATATCTATCTAGATATATCTAGATCTATCTATATCTAGATAGATATATCTATCTAGATATCTATATCTATCTAGATATAGATATATCTATCTAGATATATCTAGATCTATCTATATCTAGATATAGATATATCTATCTAGATATAGATAGATCTAGATATATCTAGATCTATCTATATCTAGATCTAGATATATCTAGATATAGATATATCTAGATATATCTAGATATAGATATATCTAGATATATATATAGATATATCTAGATATATATAGATAGATAGATAGAGATATAGATATATAGATAGATAGAGATATAGATATAGATAGATATAGATATAGATAGATATAGATAGATATAGATAGATATAGATATATAGATATAGATAGATAGATATATATAGATATAGATATATATATATAGATAGATATATATAGATAGATATATATAGATATAGATATATAGAGATATAGATATATATAGATATATAGATATATAGATAGAGATATATAGATAGAGATATATAGATAGAGATATATCTCTATATATCTCTCTCTGACTCATTAAGTCTCTTTGAGTGTTACTTGGACAGAGACGGACTGAATTTGTGGCTGAGATGAGAAAGAAAGCGCCGTACAACAGGCGGCAATTAGCGTGTCCACCTGGGTGTCATGTTTCCATAACTGCGGCTCGGAGCTGGAGCTGATAAATACGCACAACTACTGAAGAGTCATTTGTCCAAGGAATGAATGCCGGTTGTATAACCTTTCCCACTAAAGCCAAAAGACAGCCGTTAGTGGGTATTAGTGGGGGGGTTTCTTGTCTAGAGGGAAAGGGGCTCGATGAGTTTTCTCCTGCAGCTCTTGTTAACAAGAAGCACTTTGTCTCCACATAATGTACATGATATATTGAACAAGCAAATTATATAATTGAAACTCCTGGAGTGGGTAAGTTCCACAACTCATTTCAACTCAATGGTGGCAAACTCACCTCCCGGTCCTCTGCAGCTCAGGTCCTGCGTGGTCCTCAACCTTTTCCATCTCTCCAGCTGGAGACGCAGTGCCGTTTAGCTGGGTCGGGACCTTCCTCTTCATCTGCAGGTCAAGTCAAGACATTTAAAAAGGACACAGTTTCACACAATTCAGTTCCTTTGCTGTCATGATGCTTTAAATCCATAAGGGGGCACTCTCATTGTGGTTATAGTGGTGTGAAGTAAAGTGTGATATACAGAAAAACACATGAAGAAACTTCTGGGTTCCTGAGACCAGAATTAAATATAGTATGTGAGGTGTAGTAAGTGTGTACTGTGCTAGCATGCAGCTGGTAAACGATCTCTGCATCAGTTGTTGTACATGGCATTTTCATTTTTATATGTCTGTAAAACACACACACACACACACACACACAGAGAACAATCTTTGACAGAGAGTCATTAACCTGAGACGGGACATTCTTGGGGGGCTCAATCCGGATGGTGGGGTCCCATTCTCCAGGAGGCAGGACAGTCACTTGATCAAGGAACTCATCTATCCCCGAGAGGAGATCTGTTCGGTCTTTGGCCTTGTATGCTACATCGTGGAAAATCTACATAATGAATATTATTCGGAGTTATTAAACATCTCTGCAAAAAAAAAAAAAAAAAAAACAGCCCAAGATACATCTTTAAATCCCTAAAATTCTAAACTGAACCTCATAATTGTTTGATACAGTTTTCAAGATGAAATAAGTTACCAAAAAGACCTCTTTCTTTGTCTCACCTCGTCCGTCATTAGTGTGGCCATGGATCTGCCAATCTCATGGTACTGGGGCCCTTTGCCATGAGGACCCAAAAGCAGGAAAAGAAACCTTTGAAAAAGACAAATAATCATGAAATGCACCATGAATAACACTGATCTCAATACTAATCACAACAGCACATATTCACTTAGAAAAGTACTCTGTGGAGTGTACACGTCAACAATTAAATCAACACTCATTGTTTCTCACTTAAATTAATTGTGGATATCCTTGAGGATGATAAACATTAAAAACTACATAATTGGTTATGCAAAGTTAATTTTTTTTCTCTCAATATTTTGATACCTACATTGTTTACATCTATGTTTGCTAGCTAGCAGTCTTCTTTCCTGCCTTCGCTGACTGACACATTGCTATGTTTCTTGACATGTGACAGACATGATTAGTTGGAATACAGTGAAATCGTCTATGGCGTCACCCATGTGTCCATGTACCATGCTGAGGCCCAATTTAAACATTGTTGCCAAAATATAAAAAGTCTCAGTCATCATGATATCGTTCAATTCAAAATGAATGTACCTCGTGGGCACCGGCACCTCTGTGAGGCCTGTGATGAGGACGGCAGGGGACAGTCGCACAAAAGCAATTATGGGCTTCTCCAGGAAGTCCACTTCTCCCACCAGTACGTTGGAAGCTTCAGCACCCGGAGGAATCTTTTTCATGAAATTCATGTCCACCTGAAACAAATGGAAGAAATGAAATGAAAGAGTCAGATAAGCAAACTAATACTAATGATAAACAGAGAGAAAGAAAGAATGAGGGACTCGTTTACAAGGACACACATGCAGGTGCACTATGATAACTACAAGACAAGGCAAGTTAGTAGCTACATGTAGGACTACATAGTACTGTGCAAAGAATGTCAGTTGCCGTCTTATTTTCCTGAAAAGAATCTCTCTTCTGTGCAATGCTATATACAGATTTGAGCATCAACACATTCTTTATCTCCGAGTAGAAAAGACTGCCTTCATCCCTCCTTTGTATCCTCTTACTCATAAACACTGCACCTTATTTTTGGCAGTCATAATGGATGCTTTCATAATGATAACTACTTCTGGCGGCCTGCCATCTTACTTAATGGATGAAGAACAAAATGGTAGGATGAATGGAGACCATGCGAGGGAGGACTTTTTCCAAAACTAAACACAGTTACGTAACGATGAAAGACTTTTACTTTGTTGATTAATTCTTAGTCCATTAGCCTAAGCCTCTTACTGGGACTGCAAGAAAAGCACTGATGGGTATGTGATGGTGGCCTTCAGTCAGGCAACTTTCAAAAGACACCATTGAAATGTCTGTGGAAGTGCAGAAACTGAAGAAAGACACTGATGAACTCATGGGCCCTTCCACCATGATGGACTGTTTCTGTGCTCAGTACTGTGGTTAGGTTACCTTGCTGAAGTCGACACTGCCGCTTTCTCTACTGACCCCTACTTTGGAAGGTCTCCTCTCCACTGCCTTGCTGCCATCCAGGTTGTTTGGGACAGAGTTCGGAGACACCAGTGGTCCTAGTGGGAGGGGACAAGGGGAGAAGAAGGGCAGGAGGGACAAAGTGGTGATGGACACTGCGTCAGTACTTGGAAAGGAAAGACAGGTCGAGAAGTTGAGAATTGCAGTGTGTGTCACCATGATATGCCATTTCTTATTTCGTTACTTAAGGCTATTTATTAAATGCCATGAGTCTTTCATTTTTCTCTCTACTAAAATAAATGCCCGAGCTATTTTCATCATTGATATACAATGTGATGGCATTTCACAGGTGTTGTACTCATTTTTGATCAGAGGCGAGTTCTTTGCAAAACAAAATCCCGAAGTCACAATGCTACGAGTTAAACCGATCAGTACTGTTTTCGTGGGATATTTACATTCTCTTTTGTCATACGAGCAGAAAAATTAACCACTGCATCATATACAGCTACTTAGCCTCATTAGTTAGTCTTAGTGGTCACTTTACTGTTAGTACCAGAATGTCCCAAGCTCATTTCTTTACTTCTCAGGTTAGTATAAGCTCTAATATATTCCATTATACCATCTACTTTACCAACCACATTTATTTACAATTAAATGTGATTAAAATCCAGTATTCTACAATGATAAAGATTAACTTAAATACAACAAATAGGCGATCAAGCTCATAATAAACATGTAGCCTAAATCAGTAGTATTTGGATTATCCTTTTAATATTTCACATGTTTGGCTGCAAGTGAAAAGACTTCTTCCACTACAACCATCACTAGATGTGATGATTTGGTACAGAGCAGCAACACTGTGACGTCTCTCCACGGGGAAGACGATAGAGTTCACAAAGCAGTGTTCCTATTTGCTGCCCGTCTGTTGAGCTCATAACTCTGATGCTTAAAAGTCAGTCCTGCTTTGCTTGAATTCATGTCAGCTTTGAGCTAAAAGGTAATGTGCCTGACAGTTCAACCTTCCTCAGACTTCAGCACCTTCAAGTGGTGATGCTCCGGTATTTCTGTGCATAATTGGCTGCACACTTCAACATTGCTTATGCGATTTGAGCCCTACCAGACACAGGAAACGCTAGCACTTGAGGTGACATGAGAGCGGGAGATGAGATGAGGGAGGCGTGTATTTGAATCAAAAAGGATAGCATTTGCATTCTATCCTCTGAAATTTTGAAGTAACACTTCTTTTACCAGGGTTTCCTTCTTTCCCCACATACACACATTTCTCATTTTGCCATCAGGAAGTAATCAAGCCAACGTCAAACAAAATACATTAATAAAGGCTTACGCAGTATGCTGCATTTTAATTTACAATAATCCCAAACAAAATTAAAATGAGACATATATAAACAGCATGTGGTCTGGCCAGTGATCCATACCCTTGAACTGTACCACGGAGTAACCCCAGTGGATGCTGCAACTGCTGAACACGAGCATGATTGCTCACATACCAGACAAAGCCTCTTGGAATAAGGGAGGGATTAGCTTAGGTTGCAATTGCCAACATGCTTCATTCAGGAAGCTAAGCCCTGGAATGCTCCCCCAAACGTGGCGTCATAGCGCTCCCCCATTCATATGCAAAACAGTAACATAAATACCTAAAATGATACAGCATTTCTGACGTGTGGAGCTGATAGCACTGGGACTTTAATAAGATTAATGTTTTAGAAAACTTTCAAAGGGAAAAGCTTAGACTTTAAAAAGCTCTCACACAGGTCTAGAATAACATGGAGCGAGTGTACCAGTGAGTCCCTGCATGGCCTGTGTACAGGTATTCCACCCATGACTTCATGCTCAATGGATCCATGGCCTGTATATGTATAAATAGTCAGCGGTCAAGTCAATGCCATTACAGCCCATGTCTAAAGACATGGCAAGCACACCGTCGACTACTAGAATTATGTCCTCACTTGTTATTAACCTCATCCAGACACATTGCTTTCAATGGCATATTAAGGGCACTTGACTGTCTAACGCTATATAGCTGTTCAATACACAGTTGCCATTTTAAGTCAACGTTGTACAATAGAGCTGATTTAACGACATGCAGTGTTATTAAACGGTGATGATGAAGGCTTGAAACTCCCCCTCTGAATAATAACCCACGCACTGATGTCAAGACGCTGGCTTCTCGTGAAATACTGAGTATTTTCCGAGAAGAGGGTACAATTACAGAAGCTTCTCAGCTATAATAAGACCACCCCGACCCTTCAGATACAGCTCCCACCAAGTGATCGCTATTGACCCAAACTTTGAAATGGAGCCATTCCCAGAGTGAGACAAGCACAGACACACACACTGAAACGCAAACACAGTCTATTAATAAACTGAGCAGGCTTGGTTTTGGGAAGACCAAAAAGTCACTGCTGGTGCCAATACGATGGTACATACAGTACCAATACGCCCACCCTGGTCTCTGGCTTATATTACTACTCTTAAACCGGGTAAAAGAATGTTTACACTTAGGAATCGATGAGGACGAAGAGCATGTGTGCCAACTGAATCAATGGGGAAAGCACAAGTTGCATGACATCTATATCGGTGTGAGTGTGTGCTCAAAATGGGTCACCTGGGGATAAAACACGTATATTACAGGGATGTCACGAACCTATCTGTAAGATCTGTGACTGAGACTAAAGGTATTTCTTTTTACATTTATTGGTATCATCAATTAAAACCCCAATCCATTTTTAGTCCTTCATTATATTAAATTGTGATCTGAAAATGTAGCCTATCAAAAAGGCCCCGATGCACTGAGCTTGAACAAAAATAACTTCCTCTAAATACATTGAGTCTTTCTTTCACTCACTTGCAAAACAAATGCCTGTGCTAGCCAGAACAAGACCTTTACAACAAAAGGGGTTGATGCTCATGTAAACACTACCGCTTTTGTCCACAGGTGTCTCTAAAATCCACACAAAAAGTTCCTTGTTGTTGCTTTAAATTCTGTGGGAAACTACTGTATAATAGGAAAGCACTGATGCAGATATCAAGCTGTTAAACCAGTCTGGGTTGGCTTTAATGATTTGAACAAGGCCTCCTTGAGGTTAAGTTCGTATTGGGGAACTGTATAATGCACCTATCTTATACATATGATAAGTACTACAGACACCCAAGATTAAATAACACACAAAAAGTGAGAAAATAGTGAATTTGACAAAAAGTCAAAGTAAAAATGATCGGGACATCCCTTCTAGCAGGTCTTACGTGAAATGCATTGACTGAGATAAAAGAGATGGGGGAAGTTAAACGTGGCAATAAAACATCACATGATGCAGGAGGGGAGAAAGACAGACCAAGACAATTTGGAAGGCAGCCTTGCAACGACAATGTCGGAGGTGTGAATGGGGACGAGGCCAAGCAAGTCATAGACGCTGAGGAATGTCTTGAAAATGTGTTAAGAGACAGAGAGGAGTTTGAATGGCAAAAACAAGTAAAGAGTTTGGAGAGAACAGAGAACGAGAGATATTAGTAGGAAAGAATGAGTCTGTGGAATAGATGCACACAGAGAAGAGAGAGAAGCAAGAATCATGAGGCAGAGAGAAGTGTCAAAGAACGGTGGATAAACAGAGTGGGAAAAGCGTCTTAGTGAGTGAGCCTTGCTTGTTACTGATGAGATGACCGCAGGGTTGGAAGTTAAAGGGACAGTTCAACCCAAAGTCAAAAAGTCATGCAATTTATCAATCTGGATTATTTTGGTGCGAGTCGTCTAGTTTTAGAGATATCAGCCGTAGAGATGTCTAATAATTGGGCAACTTACACCAAAACAATCCATATTGATAAATAGCACAACAGGTAAGAGGAAAAATATGCATTTTTATTTTTGGAGTGAACTGTCCCTTAAACAGGGAGCAGAGCTTTCATGCTAGTGCTAGTGTTCTCTGTTCAAGCCGTGACTCACACTAGCAGGCTACACAGATATTTGCCTTCTAAGGGCATCAGCTCGAAGCCATGGGATGCCGAGGATGCCGAGGATGCTCGCCGGCTGAGCTCCGGTGATGAGGCCGCTTCTTCTGCAGAGTTTTGTGGGTCGTCGTCCTCGGGAGGCGATACCACCACTTCGGGGATGCCTTGAGGGCCATGGCCTGTGCCGTGGGTTTGGGAGGAGCGGCGGAAGGCGGATGGGGTATTTTCAGGGGTGGCGAGGAGCGGAGGGCCTGGGGCGTGCCCAGAGTTGGAGGAAGAAGAAGAGGGCAGGAGATGGCTGAGCAGGACGGAGATCCTGGACTCTCGTCTCTGGGAGAGGTTGGAGACAGAGGAGGCTGCCTCTGGCTTGTGGAGAGAGAGATGTGAAGAGGACAGGCCCTCTCCTAACAGAGGAGACAATGGCAGACAGGGGATAGGAGGAGGAAAAGGAATAAGGGATGGAGCAGAGAGGAAAAACACGTGAAGTCGGAGTACATCACAGAGGTGGTATCTGGAGGAGACACAGCCAGAAGGGGTGGGCAGCTGGAGCGGGGCACGAGGTGTAGTTAGAGAGAATCGTGCTTGAGCGGAAAGCATGGCTGTGAGCAGAAGACACTAAGAATGATTCAGTGAGGCATGTGGGAGGGTCCGCGAGGGCCACAACAGCTTGTCTCATTCAAGTCCAAACAAACGGATCATACGACACGTCGGAGGTGAGGTGAAACGCGGAGTTTCATGCAGGAGACGTGCATGCAGGAGAGGATGAGTTAGCGCGATGTCAGTGCACAGTAATCAAACGTGTGCTCTACCACAACGGACCAGTCATAAATCCTACACCGCACACACTCATTTCACACAAGACATACATCATCACCAGTGATCAATGTGACATATGTATTTTTGACCTTTGCATTTTTAATGAGATTAACAATGCAAGCATAACAAAAACCACAGGCACGGAGGTGGAGAATGTGACATTTCTTTCATTCTTAGAAATCACAGGATCTTAAAATGCACACCACACAACACCACTGCGGCCATGCCCAGTTAAAAAAACAAACACACAATGCTGACTCCAGTTGCAGGTGAAGCAATATTTCCTGAGTGTCAACCTTTGGAGTGAAAACAATCATTAATTCAAAACCCCGAGCCAGGCCAGCAATACAGGTTAGCACAGTCAGTAGCACCCAGATTTCTCTTTCATTTTTGGGGCCGACTGAGATCACTCTCTAGATTTTACTCACTTTTACCATCCACCTTCTACGATGGCATTGGGGGATTTGAACAGTGGATTTTTAGGAATAGTTCCACCCAGCGGTGGAAAGTGTGGAGGAAAAAGAAATGCGAGTGCGTCGTTGGATCTCACCATTTCTTTCAAGCAAGAGTGGGTCAGAATGTTTCTTGCCTATGTCAGCGAAGGAGCGCACCAGAGGGATGCGGTTGCTGAGTTTTCTCTCGTTCTGGTGGTGGTGTTTCTTCAGCATGGCTTCCCGGACGTTGTGGCGCAAGTCCTCCTTCAGATGGCCTGACGCCACCATGCTGTCTATCAGCATGTCTGAGTGGTACAAAGACAGGGACGTAAACACACAGCAAGATACGGACCACTGAATGTTATATTACTATAGTGACGAAAAGTTATTTGCATTGTTTTTCTCAAACTAGTCACCACACGGCTACAGAAGAAATACAGTAAAATGGTGAGAATATGTCATGCATCTTTCAGTGAGTATTGAAAATGTACCCGCGATGTCCTCGATACTGTTGGCCCTCATATCCAGCATGACGGTGCCGTTGAGTATGCAGCTACGCAGTTCAAACAAGCTGTGTAGTGACAACGTGGCCACGTAGGGCTTACTCCACCTCTCCCCGCCGTCTTCCACGTCCTCCTCAAACTTCAACCACCTGTAGGTAAACATGTCGTGTAAATGTAGCCACTGAGGCTGATAGTGACTAATAACCATGATCATGGTACCTAAAATCAGGGTTTCCAGCCAATAATATGCTTTAAATTATGCTTCAAAGCTTTCGTACAGATGAATTAAAAATAATTCTGAAAACTAATGTCTGTACAAAAAGCCAACAGATCTATAAACCTTGCTAGGGCAACAGCTTTGGTCCAAGTTTACTTCCTGTCAGATTTTGCATTAACAAGCATTGCAACAGGAAATACAAATGGGGGCCCATTTAAAATGTTCATGTTAAGTTTGAAAAGGTCTATCTTTCTGCACTGCTTTCACTTTATGCAGTTGCCGTCATGCCGTTTGTGCCTCGAGTTGCTTTCTTTCTGACCTGGCCGTCTCCTTCCATTCAGTGGCACCGCCATGTCTGAAGGAGAGCTCGTCCAGCTCAGTGAAGAGGTCGTGGGGGACGTGCTCCAGGTCATCGTCCTCTGTACCCAGGATGAACTGGACCCGCTGGGATGGTGTGTCTGCACAAAAGGGAAAAGGTCATATTTACAATGTTTACGATAACAACAACAGTACAACTCTTCAGGGATTAGGTGTTATTAAAAAGGTAACCTGTGGAGTTTTTGACCTTTGTTCTCACATTGCATGCACAGTCCTGCCAACGGTTTCACACTTTTCCACCGATCTGCAGGTGGCTGTAATGTGCCAAGAAATGCAGGGAAGACGAAGACTGCAGGCTAGTGAACATGGGTGTTAACAATGTATGTTCCAAAATGTTCTGCTTTGGAAATGTTTGGTGAGTGAGGAAATGTATTTTGGTAGTTAGAGTTCAAGGGGACACACAATACATTTCATGTAATGCTGAATGTAAACATAACTTTGGTCAAACTCCACAGAGCATCTTTAAGTGGAAACAGGGATTATATCCGAGCATAATAAAAGGAAATGGTAGTAGGATTAAACAGAATTCTTTGGGATCCCTTTTTATTAAAAGACGTGTGTGTCGTTGGCCAGTACAACTGCCCTAATGTCTTCTGAAGATGGGGAGAATACTTTTTTGGGGTAGGGTGCAATAAAAACCACTACACCACTGTAACTGCTTTCATTATACTACGTAAGAAGCAACACATCTGCAGGCTTGATGTTGAGAAAGTGTGCGAGAGAGCATAATGAAAACCTGCAAGCTTTACAGCAATTTTCTATTCATGTCTGATTAAATTAGAGGGCAGATATCGGGATATCTGGAACCAGAGAGAGAAAACGGAAATCGATAAAGCAGATTACAAAACTAAGCGTCGCAGGGAGGCAGAGATGGAACGACTGGGAACGAAAAAGGGACAGATACTTTCTAGAGGCTTGCCGGAGGAGCTGTAAGCGAGGAAACACTGGTGTATCCTTGGTGGAAGTGTTTTCCTGACCCGCGACGTATAAAACAGGTGTGACACACTGTTGGAAATAGTCTCAAACCGTGGCAGGTTTCTACAAACGTAACTGTTCCTTCTGTATTCATAAGTTGTAGTTACTTAAGACGATCAACTTTCTGCTCTTCACTGTTCTAACCTTGGTATTACTTTTTATCTTAAATGTAGGCTACTTCCAATTCCACTGCTCTAATCGTGACATAAATGTGTGTGTTAAAAAAAAAAAGGGAATTAAATTAAATTATTAGTAAATATATAAATTGTAATGAACACGGTTATGCTACGCATGGACAGCTGATGCATCCTCAATTCCTTTCCTCGCCCCCCGCTCCCATCTCCCGTGAGTGGGACTAAGACGCAAGAAGAGGAGGCGAGGAAAGGAATCGGGGATGTAGAAACAAAATGCAAGAAGAGGAGGCGAGGAAAGGAATCGGGGATGTAGAAACAAGACGCAAGAAGAGGAGGCGAGGAAAGGAATCGGGGATGTAGAAACAAGACGCAAGAAGAGGAGGCGAGGAAAGGAATCGGGGATGTAGAAACGGGGGAAATGAGAAATGCCCTAGATGACCCTTCAGAGTTCAAAGCATTGTTTGGGTGCGCACAAGTCTTGCAGTTGAGGTGATGCACCAATTTCTCACACAAACGCACGCACGGATCACTTAAAATGTCAGTACCTTCGATCAGTGTCAGAGGCCCGCTCACGGTGGCCTTTGATGCCTTTTAGAGCCAAATGTTTTGTTCAGAGCTATTTGAAAGATGGTGAGAAACAGAAGGCTAAAGCAGAGTGGTGCTATAACCTGGGAAACTGTACATTGTTGAGCAGCTTTCAGCTTTTTCTGTGGTATAAATGAAGAGGTCTTAAAGCAGTCATATTGCATTAAAATTCCATGATCGTGGCCATTAGGAGCAGGCAAATCACAGCTTTATAACTATTTACAAAGAACAGTTGTACAGTTAATGTGCTGGGAAATAAATTGAAAAAGTATGCCAAATGGAAGCTAGGTCTCTCCATTGTGGATTGCTAGGGCTTCTGTTTATAGTCTGAGGCGAGTCCTGTGCTTGTATGAATAAACACAGTTGAAGGCTCTAAACGTAGACATCAACTGCAAGGTACTGACTGATAGAAACTCAGTAGAGACAGGGATTTAGAGAGAGAAATAGAGTGTGGTTTGGTAGTATATGGGGACATTTAGGAGGAGTGTTTCCAACCATATGTGGGGGATTCCCGGCCATCCTCCTTCCCCTCCTCAAAGTCTCTCTCTTTCTTCTTTCGGTGATGTTTGTGTCCTCGGTGGCGATGCCTCTTTTTGCTCTCCCTTCCAAGAGGAACATGGACGCCTACGTACACCGCTCTGTGGCCTGGAGAGAAGGACAGTGCACCAATAAGACACCTTTTCCTCTACACCCACTTTCACACAATTTGGACAAGGAAACAAAGCAGCAAAGCATCTTGAAACAAAATAAAAGGTTAAATAGCATAAAACACAGAATACAGTTCACTGTTTCAGTTACATCTTCAGTGTTATGCAATCTGAATACCACTAATTAGGTGGTAAAGAGAGAAAAAAAACATTTCATGTTATTTGAAATAGAGTAGAACCACTGATGGAAAGTGTTCTACTGTAAAACCTGAAGCCTCCCGTCTATTTCCTGCCCATCACACACACACACAGATGATTTAGTAGAGCTAATGAACTGACAAAGCAAGCACTAGGTCAGATGATTCCCAGAGGACAGCAATAATATGAATGGAATTCAAAATGATTTAAGCCTACAAGAACAGTGTCACTGTCCCAGTCTGTTACAGCTGAAGTAAAAGACAGACACGCTAAGATGTTAGGCCGATGACAGAGAACCCATTTCCATTGCTTTTTAGTTCTCATGACAATCGACTTGAAGGAAACCAGAGTACAACGTTGACATTTTTCACCCCTCTGCTTTCTCCCGAATGTTTACTTCCCCTCATTATTATTACTGCCACACAGAAACTGTGTTCTGAAATGCAAACGCCCTATTTCTGCCCTACATTCTCTGCAAATACTCATTTTTCACAGATGAGTCATCTCTCTTTGATTTGAGAAGGGAACCCAGAAGGAATGAAACCAGGATTCAGCACTCAAGGCACAAGTGACATACAGTACACATGAGCCGAACAGATGGAGGAGAAGCAGAGATGGAGAAAGAGAGGAAGAGGAGATGAAAGAGGAGGATGGAGTGAAAATAAACAGCTTAGCCGGACAGAGAGCAGGGGGCTCCAGGGGTGTCACAAAAGGGGAGAAAGGGATAAATGGAGATATTATTGAATAGAGGATGGAGGATATGAAGTGTGGTGGACCCACATAAAGAAAGAGCAGTGGGCTGAGGGAGATATTGTGCGGCTACGTGCTCTACATGTGAACAGCATTGACACTTCTGATCCTATCAATTATTTTACGATATTCATTGATTCATCATCTAATCACATAGTCGATAAAAATATATAATAATATTCAATTATAGCAGACTTAAAGTGACCAGCAGCAAGTGAATGAATGCAAATCCAATAAAGCATTGATTTAATAGAAGTAGAAAAGGCAACAATCGTTTCCACTTTACATGTGCAGGCTTAGGTACCCACCCGTACCATCAATCTATGACACATTCGTGACAGGAAGAATATTTCAGCTTTAAACTTACTTTCCAAATCTTCCCTTTCATAGCTTGTGAGAGTGGTGAAGCTGGACTTCCCATGGTCCACTAATGCCTCCTCATCTAGACCCTGAGAACGACAGGAGGAGAGAGAGAGAGCATAAGAGACAGAAGGAATATAAAAAGATAATAAGAGACACATCAGACATTTAATCAGACCTCTCATCGCTGCAATGGAGCACAATGTTAGGAACAATGACATGAAAATATATTAAAATTAAGCTCGAGTCCAATATACTGTCATCACAAAGCAATCAAAGCCGATAGGTTGATGAACGGGAATGACAGATGTAGGATCTAAGAATATTATAATAAGAATTTACCAGCAAGCAGTGATTATTCAGAGTTTTGGCCATTTGAGTTGCAATGCCATCTGACCTGCATGCGTTACCCTGTGACGTGACTTTTTCACAACATAACCAAAGTACAAACATTAATATGATCCCGATCATAGGTCAGCCTTTTCAGACGGCAACGTTATCCATCTTTGGGGGGGCTCTGATAGATAGGAGAAAGTTTTTCAGGACATTTGACCTTTTCTCTCATTTTCCCATGTGTTTTCTGTGAATGGAAAAATTGGTCAACTGTTTTCCAGGTTTTCCAGGACGTGTGGGAACTCCGTCTATCCGACTGCAGGTTTTCCATTAAGCCGAGTAGCTCGGCGGGGATTGGCTCGGCTGTGATAAGACTGGTGGGAACAACACAGCATGGAGAGAGATCCTTACGTTTCCTTAAACACTCCAAATATGTTAATCGCCCTGTCGGTTTTGTGGAGAGATATGAAGGCAGTGCTGATTTTCCTATTCGTGTTTTTACCTAATTTAAAATCCCTCCAAAGCTGTGGGTTCATGTGTTGCAGTAAAGAAAACAAAGTGCTTTTGGTTTTTACAGATGGCCAACACCAGCAGCCCGTTTCCACTCCCCTGAAACATGATCATGGAGGAAAATAAAATCCAGTGTTATTGATCAGTGTGATGAATCATATGTAGTCCAGAACACAATGAGGCTACATACTCTGACAAACAGGTTAGATTCAGCAGATTGATAACAGCATAGTTTATCCAGCAGATTAACCTCTGGTGGTTTTCTTTAATAACTTGAAGTTCGGTTAAATGCAGCGAGGTATCATTGGAACTTCATGAGGGTTTATATACGTGTTATTTTTCACAAACCAATTAGTCCGTATTGGAAAGTATATTCATTTGGTCCACGCCACAAAAGGTCGAATTACAAGAGGCTGGCTACACTCATTAAAAAAAAAAAAAAAGAGGTCATGACCTTAGTGAAAATAATTAGCCTGATGTCATGGAAAAATCAAAAGATGGAGAGATCCAATTAGAGGGGACATACATCTGCCAGGAGGCAAGACGGCAAAGGTGCATATTACTAATATTCTTTATCAAATTATAGTGCCTTCAAACTACAACTACAGCAACTAGACAAACATGCAATTGCTATACTTGTGAGGACACTCAGCCCTCAACCGCAGCCTTAACCATAAGCAGTACAAGGTTAACCTCAACATTTAAGAAGAAATTAGCCCAACCGTAGCTTACTTTTAACCTAAACCAAACTTTGCTCAGTTTTACACTCATAACCAGTTCTCACAAAGACTGAAGTATAAGACAACACTTCCACAGACAGACAGACAGACAGACAGACAGAGAGAGAGACAGAGAGACAGACAGAGAGACAGACAGACAGAGAGACAGACAGAGACAGACAGAGACAGACAGACAGAGAGACAGACAGAGAGAGAGACAGAGAGACAGACAGAGAGACAGAGAGACAGACAGAGAGACAGAGAGACAGACAGAGAGACAGACAGAGAGACAGACAGAGAGA